TTCTCTTTGTCTTTAACCTTTGGCATTTTAATTATGATGTGTCCTGCTGTGAACCTCTTTGGATTTGTGTTAATTGGGAGTTTCTGTGCTTATTGGACTTGCATGTCTATTTCCTTTACCAGATTAGGGAAGTTTTAGGTCATTCAAGTAGATTTTCAATCTCATGCTCTCTCTCTTCTCCTTGGGGTAGCCTATGATGTAAATGTTTGTACACTTGATGGTGTCCCACAGGTTTCTTAAACTAGCCTCATTTTTTAAACTTTGTGTTTTTTGCCATTCCATTTGGATGTTTTCAGCTACCGTGTCTTCCAGATCGCTGATTTGATCTTCTGCATCTAGTCATCTGTTTATTCCCTCTGTATTCTTCATTTCAGTGACTGTATTTTACATTTCTCACTGGTTTTTATGGTTTCTCTCTCTCTCTCTGCATTGAGGTTCTCACTAAGTTCATCTCTTCTTCCCCTAAGTTCATTGAGCATCCTTATTACTCAGTGTCTGGTAGATTGTCTCCATTTTGCTTATTCTTTTCCTGGCATTTTGTCCTGTTCTTTCATTTGGGATGTTTATCTCCTCATTTTGCCTGATGTCCCGTGTTTGTTTCTGTGTATTAGGTAGATCTGCTACATCTCCCAGACTTGGTAGGTTGGCCTTATGTGGTAGGTGTCCTGTGGGGCTCATTGGTGCATTCTCCCTGGTCACCTGTGGCTGGTGCTTCAGGAGTGTCCCTCGTGTGGTTCGTGCGTGCCTTCCTATTGTAGGTGAGCCTCGGTCACTGTTGGCACCGCAGTGGGTGTGACTGACCCTCAAGCTGACTGGCTGTGCGGGGCCGGCCGGGAGTGCAGTGAAGAGGCTGCTGTGTGCAGGCTGACCCCACGGAGCAGCATTTGCTTTCACCAGGGCTCTGGTGCCAGCCAGGTTTGCCCTTGGGTGTGTCGTTTGTCGAGCTGGTTGGCTGGTGTGATCTGAAGCCGGCTTCTGGGTGTGTGGGTGCTAGAAACCCTTGGGAGGGTCTCTGGTGCAGGTCAAGGTCAGCCACCGTTTGTGCCTGACTTGAGGCTGCCTCATGGATGTGACCAAAAATGGAGTTGGCTGCCACTTGTGCTGTTCTTGGAGGTTCTCGTGAGAGGCTGTGCTGCAAAGCGAGCTTGGCCACTAATAGTGCCAGGCTTGGGAGCCTCCTGTTGGCACCACAGTGTTTGCTGAGGCCATCTGCCACTTGTGCCAGGTTTGTGGCTGCTTAGTTGAAGTTACATTCCAGGCCAGGACTAGCTGCAGCTTATGCCAGGCTTGGGGCTACTTTATGGGAGTTACAATGCAAGTTGAGACTGGTTGCCACTTGTGCCGACTTTGGGGTCACAGATCAAGACGTAGTATAACACAGGGAATACAGTCAGTAATGTTGTGATATCTATGTACAGTGCAAGGGGGCTACTGGGAACACCATGGGAGCACTTTGTGAAGTATAGCGTTGTGTAACCATTGGGTTGTCCACAATGTCTGCTTAGTTTTTTTTTCTGTAAAATAGACATTTTTTATTTTATCAACAATTATTACTGGTTTGTATATTTTGAGTTTGTCACTATCTCCCACTATTGCATTCTAGTGGGTAAAGGCCCGAGGTGCTGCTAAACATCTTCCAATGCATAAGACAGCCCCACAGCAAAGAATTATTTGGCCAAAATATCAGCAGTACCAAGAAACTTCACAAACCACTTTTGCCACGTTCAGTCAGTCCCAGCACCTTCCCTATGCGTTGCACAAATCTCTTTCTATGTTTTAGTTGCATTTTTACCTTCCCTGAAATAATAAAGCATAATACACCAAACATGTCTGTTTTCTTCCATCTTCATTATTAAAATGACTGCACAAAAATTCACCAATTTTGATTTTTTTTTAATGTATGCTAATATGAGAGTTGTCACAATGCAATCTAACAAAATTGTTTCAAATGAAGTTAAAGACAGTTGAGCACTACTAAAGCCATTGTAAGGGAAACACGTAATGGACTTTTTGGGTAACCCAATACTATACTGGACACCAGAAACTAATTGTAATAATATAGAGTGTTAAGAAAAAAGGAATTAATGGCCATTCATTGCTTGTTTGGTGTTTGTGGACCTCTGAGAGGTTTCAGGAAAGTTTGCAGGGTGAGCTGAGGCAGCTTCCTGCGTGGAAAAGTGGTTCCAGCCGGGCATGTGTGTAGGGTGGGGTGGGTCTCAGGGCACCACCAGGGCTGGGCAGATGTTGGGCAGGCTAACTCAGCTTTCAGATGTGGCACCTGCCTGCACGGGCCCTCTGAGCGAGGGGAGGGCTCAGCAGAGGAGCAGTGTGGTCCCTCCTGCCACTGCTGCGCTCCTCAGCCGGAAGCTGGACAACTCGGTTCCTCCCTGTATGTTCCCGGTGCTCTTGCAGCTGCCACGCCTGCACTGCAGCCTAGAGGATGCATGTTTGGCTTGGGCTCCTCAAGAGGAACATCTGGTCCTCCAGCAGTCTCTTGTGTTTTCTTCCTTTTTTTTTGAAAAGATTTTTTGGAGGGGGGGGAAGGGAGGAAGAGAGAAACGTTGATGTGCAATAGAAACAATGATCAGTTGCCTGTTGCACACCCCAAGATGGGAACCTGGCGTGCATCCCAGGCATATGCCCTAACCAGGAATCGAACCAGTGACCCCTTTTTTTGCAGGACGACACCCAAACCCCTGAGCCACACTAGTCAGGGCCTGCAGCCCCTTATCTTTCTCAGGTGCAATCCCCACTGGTTTCACAGCCAGATGTTATGGGGTCTCCTTTTCCCAGCACTGATGCCCCGGCATAGGGAGCCAGGGGTGGGCTGGGACCCCTCACTCCTCAGAGGGGACCTCCGCAGCCAAAGATACCCTTCCTGTATCTTAATTGCCACACTGTGAGGGTGTGACCAACACATTGTATGTCTCCTCCTTGTCAGTCTCCATGTGACTTCTGTATATCCTTAGTTATAGGATTTCTGTTCACTTGTCTGTAAGTATTGGGGTTTTTGTTGTTGTTTGTTTTTAATTGTAACAAGCAAAAGTTTACTTAGAAAGTAACAGAAGTAGAAGAGGTGAGCCAGCTGGGCTGTGTGGCTCAGGAAACAAGTTGGAGAGGAAAGAAGGGCCTTTGGAGAAAGAAAGCCAAGGGTCGAGGGAAGGAAAGAGGAAGGAAAGGTGTGGGAGTGCCCCCAGGCCGTGCTAATGTAGGTGCAGGTGCGACTTTGATGCCATGGTGGGAGGGGGCGAGCGCAGCATTTACTGACTCCGCCATCTTTACTGAGTCTTCATTGTACACCTTTCATAGTTCCCATTTGTTAAAAAGAAATGGGGGCAATTTGGTTAAAATAACCTCTTTTTAAACAGTTTTACTGAGAAATGACTCACATACTGTGTAGTTCATCCATTTAAAGTTCGGTGTTGCATTTTTTTCCCCAAAAAAGATTTTATTTATTTTCAGAGAGGGGAAGAGAGGGAGAGAAACATCAGTGTGTGGTTGCCTCTCACCCCTCCCTCCCCCCGCTGGGGACCTGGCCTGCAACCCAGGCATGTGCCTGATGGAAATTGAATGGGTGGTCCTTTGGTTCGCAGGCCAGCATTCAATCTAATGAGCCACACCAGCCAGGGCCATTTCAGTGGCTTTTAATATATTCACAAATGTATGCATCCATTGCCACGACTTTTCTTATTTTTTTTAGGGGCTTTGAGTTTTTTACTGAATTATAATTGGATTGTAAAAGGGTGGGGGTGTTGCTGTTGTGTGGCCTCTGGGCTGTTGGGGGCACTAACAGGAGGTTTCCGGTGGTTTTGCATAAGCTGGTTGTTCCAATGTTATCTTTTGCCAGTGGTTGTGTGGGGTGGGAGGGAGCTGTTAGTCACATTTTGCTCTTGCTTTTCTAGTCATTTTCCAGGCCTGGAAAGACTGCCATGAACCCATGACAAAGCAAGGTAGCAGGCCATTTCCCCAAGGGGCTCTTACTGACTTTGAAAGTGAATCTTAATATCTTAAAGTTTTCTGGTGACATCCAGTGTCCAGGAGTGACTCAGCCACTACTCTTGTAGGGGTGAAGAGGAGGCTGCCCTCAGAGTCCGGAGAGTTGGAGAAGCATGAGCTTCCTCTCCCCACTTCACAGAGACGGGGCTGGGGGTCCGTCTGGGCCCACCTTCCCCTGCCCGCTGCTCCCCTAGTCACACGTCTCAGGAAGTGGAGGAGAGGGAGAAAGAGAGAATGTTCCCATAAGGGCCACTAAAATGTTAGAGCGGTGGTGACATGGGCTGTGAAAGAATTCACCAAAAGAAAAGGCAGAGAGCAAAGTTTTATTCCCTTTCCAAGTGGGGAGTGGGACGTGGGGTGGAGAGATACAGCAGCCCATTGCTGCAGTTTCAATCGCTTTTCGTCACCTCAAAAAGAAGCCCCGTACCATTTAACACGTTTTGTCCCTTATTATATCCCCAGCCCAGAGTACCTACGAATCTGTTCTGTCTCTAGATTTGCCTGTTCTGGACATTACATATAAATGGAGTCATACAATATGGGTTATGGTGACTGGCTTTATTCCAAGTTCCTCTATATTGTGGCATGTATTGATACTTCATTCCTAAAAATACATTTTTTATTCCTCTTTATGGCCTAATAGTATTCCATTCTATGCATATACCACGTTTTATTTGTCTATTTATTAGTCGATGGACACTCTTTTCTTACTTTGTGGCTATTGTGAATTATGTAGCTATAAATATTTGTGTATAAGTTTTTATGTGGACTTATATTTTTATTTCTTTGTACATACCTAGGAATGGAATTACTGAGTCATATGGAAAAATCTCTTCACTTTTTGTCTGGAGAGTGTGTGTGTGTATTTTTTGTGAAGATCATTTTGCTAAGTTTCTTTTTAGTTCAGAAAGCATTATCTTAGCACTAGAAAGTCAGACAGTTGTTATTACAATTTCTTGTAGAAGTAATTACATTCCATCGTATTTATTACAAATTGGTCTTAGTCTCCATGCAGGATGCTGTGTTCTCTGCTGCTTTGTGAGTGTCTGTGGCTGGTAACGGGCTACACACACGATGACGACTGGATTGACCCCACCGACATGCTCAACTATGACGCTGCCTCAGGAACGATGAGGAAACCTCAGGTAGTAGCAGTGACGCGCGGGCACGTCCGGCCTTGTCGGTGCTGTGATAGAAACAGTCTACGCGTGTGTGTGTTTGCTCTGCGAGTGGTGCTGATACAGTGCTTAGCGGTCACAGAACCTTTCATGACGCTCCCAGTCTGAGATCGTTTTAGTTTCAAATTTGAGTGTAAAACCCATCAGCTAGCAAACTAATTTGATTTTAGTTCTTAGCTAGTATATGAATTTGAGATTCTTACTTTTTTTGGTGGTTCAGTACAGTTGAAGAACATAACAAGCAAAGTCATAAAATGAGGCTAAAATTTTAGCCTTCATTAATAATGGACTCTTCACAACTCAACTATGAAAACCTAAAATCTTCTTCTCCGCTTTAGGTGAACTACGGTCTATCAGAGAAAAAAGAGGTTAGTCCTGACTTGTCATACGCTCAGGAATTGTCGGAATGTTACAGCAGACTTGATTCTGTGACTCACAAGGTTAGATTCTTTTTTATTCATGAATTGTACATTATTTATAATACGTTAAGTCACTCTGTTTTTGTTTGCTAACATTTTTATTTCTATATACTGTACAATTTATATACATTTGACCATTGAATAAGGTGGGATTTAGGAGTACCAACCTTGTATAATTTTCGGCTCTCCAAACGTAACTATTAATAGCCTACTGTAGACCAGAAGCCTTATGGATAACAATTTATACATATTTTGTATGCTATGGTATTATATACTATAGCTTTACAATAAAATAAACTAGAGAAAAGAAACTTTCCAAGAAAATCCTAATGAAGAGAAAAATACATTTACAATATAGAATGTATATATTGAAGAAATCTGCATATAAATGGACCTGAGGTGTTCAAAACCGTGTTATTCGAGAGTCAGCTGTATATTTCTTCTTTAGTTACTCTAGTTTCTTGTGTTAGTCCAGTTTCTCTGGCTTGGTTTCTCTTGTTATTCCAGTCTTTTAAAAAAATAGTACTTTTATTGTCTTGTAATATGTTGTGGTTATTTCTTTACCAGACTGAAAATTTCTTGGGACAGAAATATGCTTTGTTCATTCTTGGTTCTCTCTCACCTGTCCCAGTGCTGGACGGAGTGTAGTAGACTCATGGCAGATGTAGCAAGTGAAGAAAAGGGGCCTGTTACCAGCTCAGAAGCGTAAGGGTTACTCTTACAAATATAGGGGATTATTACAAGAGTAGGGGATTATTACAAGAGGGGTCCCCCCCAAATAAAAATGGAATTGTCTTCTGGAGGGTGGGCCCTTGTAGTACAGGCTTTCCCCACTGGGTGAGTGTTCCAGGAACTCATCATCTGTATACGTGTACCAGCTGGCGTTGTTGTGAGAGGCTGCGTTTGGCTTCAGTGAACTTTTTTGAAGACTCTTTCAGTGCATTTGCCCGTTTCACGTTGGGTGGTTTACCAGTGCACCTGCCCATACTGTGCTGAGTGAGGGAGGGAGATTGGGGCGGGAGCGCTTGTTCTCTGAGACCCAGATTTGTCTCAGTTGGAGCATCTGCTTGTGGTTCCTACCACATGTGAACTCAGCCGCATGCTGGCAAAGCAACCCGGGGCTAGAGTGTGCCTCCATTTCTCTGCGTTTGGTGGCGCAGTGAGTGAGTGGCACCACAGCAGGAAGTGCAGAAAGGCCCTTTTGTAGAAGTTCTTCATCCCATCATTTGTGACTTTGGTTCAAACATTGTAAAAAACGTGATGGGTAAAATGGAGTCTTGGTTCTTGTTAAAAAACAAAAAGCATTGTTTCTCCTAAAGAGGAACTTTAAAGATATGAAAGTTTGTAAACCGTGCCTGAAAACAAAGGAAACAGCCATGTGACTTCTGTCTACAGTGTTGTGGCCCGAGTTTGATTATCTCGTGTGTCACCTGAGGCCCGTTTCCGTGCTCGACTCAACTCATGGCCCACACTCAGTGGAAAAATAAGAGTTGCTTATTGCATGTTATGATGTCTATGGGATATGCCTTCCCCTCACGCGGTGACTGGACCGCCATGGTGTTTGTAGGGCCAAGTTCAGAGGATGTTCTCATGAAGATTTATGTGCTAAGGAGTTGCCACGTGTAGGACACTATGGCAAAGCCATGGTTCCTTTCCTCCTGAAGCATCCTGTGTAGTGGGGGTTGGTCAGTCGTTGACAGGAGGAGTTAATAAGTGGCCAGAAGTAATACACATTCACGAAATTCTTTGCTGGGTCCTCCTCCTCCTTGCTTCTTCCTGTGTCTGTTTCTCTGTCTCTTTATATTTATTTTCTTCCTCCCTTCTTCCCTCCCTCCCCCCCTTCCTCACTGCACAGAGATTGGTCCAAAGATTCTGCTTACCCACTTTGCTGCCCCCTTGCTTTATGATCTTCAGCTTTAAAATTACTCAAAGTCAGCAGAGAAACTGCCAGTCAGGGCCGGGTGCTGGGCCTGTGTTCCTCAGTTCCTCAGTCATTGCCAGCTTGCTCTTTGCAAAGAGAGCCCACACACAGCAGGCACGCTCTCCATTTTAATGCAGACTTCATAGAAATAACCAGTGTTTCACCTTGGTCTTGATGGGGCCACTGGGTTAGAAACCGGACCCTTACATTAAACTTGATGCTAACTGTGGATTTTCTGTGTGCGTATGATTACAGATTGAAGAATGTGAAAGCAAAAAGAAGAAAGACTATGAAAGTCAAAGAAATCCTGTTTTTGGGAGATACTTAAATAAGATTTTAATTGAAGCCAAAAAGCTCGGACTTGTGAGTATTGGTAGGGTGATACCAATAAGTATCTGCTACTTTCTAAGCAGATACTTATCTGCTACTGCTAAGCAGAGTAGTAGGTATTTTCACTTATCAACACCCAGTTACACAGAGCAGTGATAGAGCATTGTTACCATTGTGCCCTCACAGAGAATTCCTGACGGGCCCTTTTCCCAGAACCTGTGTGCGCAGAGTCCAAGGTGGCCGCCTGTCTGCAGAGGTTTGCTGGGAGGCGGTGCACACCACTCCTCTCTTCCTCACGTTCATGGGAATTTACATTTTCAACCACTTTATTGACTTGGGGGTGGGTGCTGTTTTAAATTTGCTATTTGAACTTCACCAAACAGCTGGGAGAGTTAATCATCTCCTGACTTGGGAAGGAAATTTCTTTCTGGCCCTCACTTGTTGTCTAGCACTTCACACACACTCACACAGATGGTGGAAGATCATCGCACGTGGAGGAGGAGGGACATGTGTTTTAAGTAGTTTCCCCCCAAGCCTTTTACTGTGGCAGGTGCTGCTCTTACAGAATTAGGTATCGTGTCCATATCGTTGATGATTAATGTGAAGATTGCACTTTTATAGTCACTGTTTTCACTTACACAGTAAGAATATCTATCAAGAAAACTTAAGGGGAAGGAGTACTAGGTGAATAATTAAGTGGTCCCACCTTATTCTGGAAGTGTAAGAGCAGGTGTTCGCGTGTGTGTGCCCCGTCTCCCAGGTCTTAGTGTGTGCAGGGTGGGGCAGAGCCGGTTCACGGGTAGATGAGGGAACAGCCGGAAAGTAGCTAAGCTGGGGGTGCTGGGGTGTGTTATTTACATGCTGCCTGGTTTTAAAAAAATACTGATTAATGACTGCTTTTTTATGCTTAGTGATGATTGGTGATCTGACATGACACTTTGGTTTTTCTCATTTTATGTTTACTTTTTAGTATAAATAACAGTATTTTATTTAAAAAAAAGAATTTTATTTGTATTAACTGGTTAATGGACGTAAATGTTCGCCATTATTTGGCTAACCTGAACTCACACCGACAAAGATAGTTACATACATATGTAACGTATGTTTGCGGGAACTCAGATTTTCTGCTTTGTGAGACTCCTTTGTTTCCCAGTCTGTATCACTGCACATGTCAGCCTCTCTGAGGCTCTGCACATGGAAAGCCATAAACTGGGTCATGAGGTAGTTGATCCTCCTTACTGTGAGTTCTCTATTTGCACATCTGCCTAGTCACTGAACCTCATGTAGAGCCCCAAGGTCGGTGCTCACGGTCCTTTGTGGCCACTCTCGGACGTGCGCAGGACAGCAGGACAGCGAGTTCCTGATGCACTCGCTCGCAGCCAAGGTCCAGCAAGGCCACGGTCTGCCGTCTTGTTTCAGCTCTAAGATAAATGTGTGTTTTTCCGTGCTACATTTTTACAACGGGTGTGTGTGAGGTTACTTCACTTCTAAACAGCTCTGCAGCACAGTGCTGTCTAGTGCTCCCGAGCGCAGGGAGGCTGTGAGGTGCCTCGGAGAGAAGGCGCGTGTGCCGGAGCGGCTTCGTTCAGGTTTGGGTTGCAGAACTTTCGGCCTGGAGCTCGGTGTGAATGATTCAGCAGTGTACATTCAATAAGGTGTCCTTTGGTAGAAACTAGTATTTTTAAAAGGTTATTATTGACTGGCAGCTGATGAAAATGTGTCTGCAGGAACCTCCCCCTGTATTTCCTGTTCCAGGACCCATGGTTCGTTCAGTGTTTGCTAATTAGTGTTTGAGGTGACTATAGAGTATTACTACAGCACGTAGCAGGAACCAACTATATTTTGGTAAAATGTACATTATTTGCAGAGTTTCATAATTTTTAATTGCTTTTGATGTGTATTATCTTTTGTTTTCATGTCGGCCTATGAGATACACAGGTGGATGTTTTTATTGGGTTGGCCAAAAAGTCTGTATGTTTTTTTCCATAAAATAAAAGACACATTTTTCATTTTCACCAATAACTTCATTGACTTGGATATTCTGAGTATGTCAGCTATCTCCCACGTGGTATATAACATTGATTGTTCTCAGTTAATGTCTTGGGTTGATCACTGTCAACTTCAACTGGTCTCCCTGACTGTGGAGAATCATCCAGCAAAAAATCCAGCACGAAACGTCACAAACCACTTTTGACATGTTTGATCAGTCAGTTACAGCAGCTTTTCCATACACTGCACAAATCTTTTTTTTGCATTTCAGTGGTATTTTTACCTTTTTTGAAATAATAAAGCATAATATGCTAAAAATATTGCTCGTTTTCTTCCATCTTCAATATTAAAATGGCTATACAAAATTTCACCATTTTTGATAAGTTTTGTTTTTTTTTTTAGCACGCTGACATGACAGCTGCCACATACAATCTAATGGTTGTTGCAAATGAAGTTAAAGACAAGTAAGCACTTCTAGAGCCATTGAACAGAAAAAGAAACCTTTTGGCCAACTCAATATATGTGAAATATTGTGAACTAATTATATGTTTAGTTCCAAGTTGACTTTTGTCTTGAAATGTTTCACTGAATAATAACAACGTTCTCTTTCCTATCGTATGTTTTTCCGGGGGGCAAATTGAATTCAGCCGGATGAAAACAAAGGCGATATGCATTACGATGCTGAGATTATCCTTAAACAACAAACCTTGATAGAAATACAGAAGTTTCTCGACGGAGAAAACTGGAATCCAGGTGCTCTGGATGAAGCACTAAGTGATATTTTAATTAATTTTAAGTTTCATGATTTTGAAAAGTGGAAGTGGCGGTTTGAAAACTCCTTTGGTGTGGATCCTTACGACGTGTTTATGGTAAGCTGCAGGGGGGCGTGGTTACAGGGTTTATTTAGATACTTTCAGCCTTCCACCGTAATTATGTTAACCTGTACTAGGTCCCTCATATTGTACTGATGAACTTGAGGCAAATAGTTTTGTGCATTTGAGTCTAGTTCTTTTGTTTTCGTTGACGGGTATGGTTTTGGTGGGAGGGCAGCCTGACGGTGACCTCGCTGTCTCTGCTGCTTCCTGTCTTCAAGGTGCTGCTGTGTCTGCTCTGCATCGTGCTGTTAGTGGCCACGGAGCTGTGGACCTACGTGCGTTGGTACACCCAGCTGAGACGTTTTTTATTTGTCAGTTTTCTCGTCAGTTCGGCATGGAATTGGATGTATTTGTACAAGGTATTCATTTTATAAATTAATTAAATTTAAAAAATTTAAAAATATAAAAATGTTCTTTCATAATAAGAGCTAGTATCTTTCATTTGGAGCTAGTATCTAATCTTGCTTCAGGTGAGGGGTGGAGGCAGTGGTTGGAGAGAGCGGTGTGTAACTGGCAGGTGCTCTAGGTGCCTGGCTTTTGGATCCCTGACTAGTTAGGGGAAAAGTTCAGTTCTGATTTTCATAATCCAACTCCTGAGGGGAGGCATCTGAAGAGCTAAACCAGAATAGAGCTAGATAGACACTTAAAATTCATTCATTTATTTTTAGAGAAGGGGAGGGACAGAGGGAAACAAATATTGTGTGGTTGCCTCTTATGCGCCCCCTACTGGGGACCTGGCACGCAACCCAGGCACGTGTCCTGAATGGGAATTGAACCGGTGACCCTTTGATTCATAGGCCAGCCCTCAGTCCACTGAGCCATACCAGCCAGAGCTAGGTAGACACATTTTAAAAACTCTTTTTAAAAAAAAAAAATATTTTATTTATTTATCTTTAGAGGGGAAGGGAAGGAGAGAGGGAGAGAAACATCAATGTATGGTTGCCTTTTGTGCATCCCCTGCTGGGAACTGGCCTGCAGGGAATCAGCCTGCAACCCAGGCATGTGCCCTGACTGGGAATTGAACCGTGATCCTTTGATTCGCAGGCCCGAGCTCAATCCACTGAGCTATACCAGCCAGGGCCTTAAAAACTCTTATTTAAGTGATTTGGGATATGTTTTTTATTCTTTGCTAGAAATGGTATCAAAATACTAGTTTTTTTTTAAAGTTATTTCCTGGTGTAGCTCAGTGAATTGAGCACAGGCCTGTGAAACAAACAACTGCGGTTCGATTCCCAGTCAGAGCACATGCTTGGGTTGCAGGCCAGTTCCCAGCAGGGGCCACATGAGAGGCAACCATACATTGACGTTTCTCTCCCTTTCTCCTTCCCTTACCATCTAAAGATAATTTTTTTTTAAGTTATTTCCTGATATGAATAACTTTGACATGAAAGTTATTTCCTGGTATGTTTAAGGTTAGAGAATTTAGAAAAGATAAATACAGAGAAATTTAATTTTTAAATATCATCTGTAATTATGTGACCTAGAGATAATCACTGTTTTGACTTTACAGTCTCTTTTCTAAATTAATTCTTTAAAAATTGGAATCATGCTGAACCCTAACTCTAAACCTAAAAAAGAAAAAAGGAAAAACAGTGGGATAGTGTCGCGGTCCGGCCGCAGCGGGTCAAGGGGTCCCACAGGTGAGGGTAGGCGTCGGCGCTGGGTAACAGACGACAACACGCCTCAAAGGACAGTGAAGCTCTGTTCCGTTTATTGCAAGTACAAGCAGGTTTTTATATTTTAATTTTAGGTAGTGATTAACATTTGCAGTATAACATGATCATTTAAGCAGAAAAAATCAATACAAAGGTAATCAGTAAAAGTATGAAAGTTCTCATAGATTTAGTTAAAGATTATTTTAACTAGGAGAGCCATTAATCAGACAATTAGAAGTATCTTACTGTATATTAAAGTTTCTCAGAATTTGTCATAGGGCAAAAGGATACGCTAGATTGAGTAGAGAAAATAGGAGATTTATTATAAGGCCCTTGTGATGTCTAACTTAGCTATCTACCTTTTTTTTGCTTAAAATGTTTTTCTGTGTACTATAAATTCTGACTCCCTAGTGACTGTTTAGTTTGTAATAACTAACTAGCTTTTGTTATTTCTTTGCCTGTCTAGTTGATATATATTCTTATTCAAGGTAAAGGAGGGGCTATTCCTATGTTGCAGGGGGCTTTTAAGGGTACTTCTTTTAAGTTTCTCTAGGAGTTCTTTTATAGACATGTTTTGTACTTTGATTCTCTCTAAGAAAGCAGTGAGGTCATCTCTTGATTTCCTAGAGTATTCTATCTTATCTTGGGTGTTTGTCTAATGATCTGTTACTGATTAAGCTTGAATTCTCAGATTGTTCTGGTTGTTTCTTTGTACCTATATTCCCTGATGTTCTAGTATGATATTATTACTCTGTTCATTGAGCCGGGAAAGGTCTAGGCACACTATCTGAATCACTGCCAGGGTATTCATAATGATTAAAGCAGAAAAGGTCATGATCCCCAAAGCAAGCACAATCACAATAGGTATTGCAGGGCCTTCCATGCCATGTCCACCAGGTTGGAAACTGCTTCCTTGAAGTCTTACACCCCCTCTCAGGACCTTGTCACGGAGAGAGGGATCCAGCAGTGGACGCGGCAGTGGACGTGGCAGGATAATGTGTATACAGAAATGTAAAAGAAGCACTGTTATTCTTGTCAAAATAGCAGAATCATTGCAGGAAAATTTTGGATCTTTTTAGCAGGGTGAGTCAAATAGCCAGATAGTTTTAATGAATTCATCTGATTAAATCTTTGACGTTTTTAAAAAGACTTTTTTAAGTTCCATAGCTTCTAGAACTGCTAATTATTTACAGATTAAAGGAAGGATGGTTGTTTGGTTGAATCGTGTACCTCACTGGTTTCCACCGGGGCTTTAATTCATTAAAGGTATATTACCCTTGTATAGGCCGTTTGTGCTGAAAGACCATCCAGAGCAAACCCCATTTTATCATGCAATGAGACGTAGTCATTTAACACATGCGGATATATTTGGGGCATGGTATAGACTAAATCTGAACTAATTTTTTAAAACGGGTGACAAGGTTTTCCTTCCTCATCATAATTACTTACACAGAAGGCAGTTGTAGTTCTTTATCCTCGCTTCCTGCATTGAGACTGTTTGGTTGTGAGCTGACAAGAGCTTTTTAGAAAGAGTGGATGTATTTTTTCTGTGAAGAACTTTGAACAATCTGGCGTCTGCACTAAGGTGTTTGGGGTGTGGAGGTGTAACCAGCGTCAGCAGCAGTTCAAGGCTCTCTTTGCGTTGTGTTGGTCAGATGGCTTTCGCACAGCACCAGGCCGACATCGCCAAGATGGAGCCGCTGGGCAACGTGTGTGCCGAGAAGATGGACTGGTCTGGAAATCTCTGGGGTAAGGTGCTGCTGGTTCACTGGGCCTTATTCGGAATAGAATTTCTGAGAATGAGAAAATACGTTAAAAATGACAAATGATAAAATGCCAGAAGGAGGCTTTCCAGGACTGAATCTTTAATTTATTTTTATGTACTGATTTTAGAGAGGAAAGGCGAGAAAGAGAAAAAAATTCATAGATTTGTCGTCCCACTTATTCATGCATTGATTGGTTGGTTCTTATATGTGCCCTGACTAGAGATCAAACCCACAACCTATGCTTATTGGGATGATGCTCTAACCCACTGAGCTACTCAGCCAAGGACTGTGAAGAACCTTAATGTCAGAAGACCATGCAAAACAACTTTTAGGTTTCAAAGCTAAAGCAAAGACAAGTCCCAGGAAAAGAGACAGTCTTCTTCAGCCTTACACAAATACCCACCTTCTGCAAGTTTCCTGAATAGTATTTTCACTGTCATTCCCAAATTATAGATATAGTTGTATGTCAATTACATATTTCTCAACCCATTGTTGTGACTTTTTAATTAAGTTTATTGGGGTAACATTAGTTATTGAAACTATATAGATTTAAAATGTACAGTTCTATGAGACATCATCTGTATTTTGTACTGATGTGTGTTTTACCATATCAAAATGACATCTTCAGTTATACCTTTAGATATCCCGAATTATTGAAAAACATTGACTGCATTTGTGGATAAATTTATGTGGATCTGTAAACTTAATTCTCATGATTATACTTGTGGCTTACATTTTCTGCTGGTCTTTGATGTACAGAGTGGGTAAAAATAATAATACAAGAATAAATTGTTTTGTGTATTCATAACTGTAAACCTACTTTTACCCACCCCTGTATACTAGGGGAGACCAAAAAAACCCCTCTAGAATTTATTAATTAAAAATTGTGTGGTTCTTTTCTTTAATATTTTGTTTATTCATTTCTAGAGAGAGGGGAAGAGAAGGAGAGAGAGGGAAACATCAATGTGTGGTTACCTCTCACACCCCCTACTGGGGACCTGGCCCACAACCCAGGCATGTGCCCTGACTGAGAATCAAACTGGTGACCCTTTGGTTCACAGCCTGTGCTCAATCCACTGAGCTGCACAAGCCAGGGCAAAAAAGTTGTATATTCTTACATGTTTAAACTTTAGCCACCTTCAAAGTACTCTCCATTTGATGCAGTATACCTAATGAGACATTTTTTTCTACTGCTCAAAACAATTTTTGAACTCGTCGATTTTGGAGCCTTTTAGTGCTCCTGCCGTTTTTTGTTTCACTGCTTCCACATTATCAAAATGTTCCCCTTGGAGGGCTTTTTTCACCCAGGAAAACAACAACAACAAAAAAACCCCTGCTTGGGATTGGGAGGGTGGGACATGGGGGTCATTTCATTTTGGTCAAAAACTGCTGAACACTCAGTGCCATGCGGGCAGGTGCGCTCTTAAATCAGTCGTCAGGAAATGGGCAGACACACTGAAAGCGTCTTAAAAAAAAATTCACCGAAGCCAAACGCAGCCTCTCACAATAGTGCCAGCTGGCACAGTGATACAGACGGCCTAGAACACTTACGTAGCAGGGGAAACCTGAGCGTCAAGGGACCCGCCCACCAGAAGATAATATTGGGGGCTTGGGGGGGTCTTCCCTTTTATTTTATGTATTTTAATTATATTAAAATACCATATTTCTTTACTATACTTCCCTTATTTTATTTTTTGGATTGGTTGGGAAAGAAAGAGGAGGGGGTTTGATACATGAAAAGGGACATTTAGAGTTTTTTAATAAACCTGTATTTATATTTTAATTAAATAACACTAGGAAAATATTACAAATTTTTGCCAGGGATTTGATTTATAAAGCCAGGGTAATAAGTAGCAATTAAAAATTTTCATATATCTACATTTATATGAATATATATCTCTCTCCATAGCTAGATGGATAGATAGATAGATGTCTTCAGTTCAGGCCAGAGAGTTTTGCATTTGTGTGACGTGCAGGAAGGAACAGATACTGGACTCGCTGGCTGCCATAGCACCTGTTTCCTCCGTTAGCCTGTGAAGGACCCAGTGCTCGCTCTGTTCACCAGCACAGTGTCTGGTACATTCTGGTCGTCAGCGTAGTGGGTGTGTTAAGTGAATCTGCATATATAAAGTAATAACCAATTAGTCTTTATTTCGTTATACTGCTTAGGAACTCATAGCTTTACTGTTTTGTTTTGTTTTTTTTACAAAGGGGACAATGTCTTCTTACAGATTTTTACAGTGTAAACATTCTCAGTAACGTTGACTGACTTTAGTTATTTGTATCTAGCAATGGGAGTGGTTTAATGTTCAGATATGTGATAAATAAATGCAAGTCCGTGATGCAGATAGAATCTCAGCAGACTCTCAGCAGGTGTCCAAAATGAATGTTCTGCAAAAAGCCATGGGAGCTAAACCAGCCCAGCCCAGCTTCCTGACTTCAGGGACAGCCACGTGCCATCTGGCTCAGACCGGTGCGAGTGTGAGGCTGACTTGGACCGGCTGGGGCAGCGGACTCTGCAGTGGAAATTTCATCGAGGTTGTTGTGGATTCACAGGTGGTTGTAGGGAATAGTACAGAGGGGTCCTGTGTGCCCTTTCCCCACTGTCCCCAGTGGTGGTGTGTTGCACAGTGGCACTAGTCCAGTGTCACAGCCAGGACAGTGACTGGGACACAGTCCAGCAGGCTGGTCAGAGTTCCCCAGTTTTCAAATAGCTACCTTTTAGAAGCCTTTATAACAAAATATTTTATCTGCATAAGACTTGTACAATTTGAATGGATTTTAAAAATAAACATTTTGGACACAAGAAGGAAATTTTTAAAAATTTTCATTACAGGGAGTCTGTTTGTAAAACAATGTAAAATTGATCGGTGGTGGTGAGTGGGAAAAACCAAAATATTGTCTTATTTGGGAATGAAATGTAGCTTTTAAAGAAATGACTCAGTGTTTTGTCTGCTTCTTTAAATAGAATGGTTTAGGAGTTCGTGGACCTACAAGGATGACCCATGCCAAAAATACTATGAGCTCTTACTAGTCAACCCTGTTTTATTGGTCCCCCCAACAAAGGTATGGAATATATTTTGTAAAAATTACTTACACGAAGTAAGTCAATAACTCTGGCATATATTAAAAATTGCTAGTGTTTACTATTTTGTTTTTATTTAAAAAATTGTTTTATTGATTTTAGAGAGGAGGGGGTGGGGGAAAGGGAAACATCAGTTTGTTGTCCACTTAGTTGTGCATTCACTGGTCGATTCTTATATGTGCACTGACCGGGGATTGAACCCATAACCTTGGAGTATTAGGACGACACTCTAACCAAATGAGGTAGGGTAAAAATTGTTAGTGTGTTTTAGAGTCATTTTGCTTACAAACCTTTGTTCCAGGGGAAAAAAATTGTATCACACAGTGATTTCCATATTTTTAAAAGCATGAGGCAGCGTTTTAATTTAACACAACTTTGGCCTCAGTGCCCAGTGAGGTTTGATCTGTGTGCTGCAGTCCTGTGAGAAAAATGAAGTCGCTTTCACGTTTTTTAGGCACTGGCGGTTACGTTCACCAACTTCGTCACGGAGCCGTTGAAACACATTGGGAAAGGGATCGGCGAGTTTATTAAAGCACTCATGAAGGAGACCCCAGTGCTGTACCAGGTCCCACTGCTCGTCATCGTGGCCGTAGGCGTCCTGGTTAGTACCGAGCGCTGCGGACACCGGGGCTTCCGGAATGAGGGCGCCTGTAAATTGTTAAGCTTCAGCAAAGCCTAGTGATCAGGCTGGGTCGGGCCTGGCTGCAGGAGCAGGCGGTTTTTAGGTGGGACAGTTTCATTCATGCTCCCAGGTGTGTTCCTCCTAAGCACGGACACGGAGCTCAACTTTAACTGGAGAGGCCGTGGCGGGGATTTAAAATACCACCTTCCTTTAAATGGGTTATTTGCACTTGGTGAATTAATACAAGCAAAGTGAATGGTTTACGTCCCCTTTGAGAAAGCGGGCCTCCTTGTCAGAGTCCGAGTTTCTGCAGCGCTGGGTAGGAGCAGCCTTGGGTTTTGCAGCGTCAGAAAAGGGCGAGTGTGGAAGGTGAGTGCACCCGCAGTCAGGGGTCCGGGGGCAGGCGTTCCCGAGGGAGGGGACGTGACTGGTCCCTGGCCCACAGAAAGCAGTTGTCACGTAACACAAACGCAAGGAACTCAGACGTGCCTCTGAGTGTCCTCCCAGAGGACACACATTCACTGTCACTCTGAGATGGTTCCTGTTTTGGATTTTGTTTCGGTTTCTGGTTACAGGACACGGTGGTTTGGGTGTGTGGGTTTGCTAGGTGACATCAGGTTGTACTTTAGTCTCTGACACTGAAATTAGACGCGAAGCCCGTCATCTCTTGTCATTTCACCTGCCTCAGGAGAAGGCCTCTGCTGCTTCTGTCTTCAAAAAATAGTGCCTCTAGTTTACAAAACATTTTGTTTCTGGGACCCTTGCATCCCTAAGAATTGAAGACCACAGAGGCTCTTATTTATGGGGATTTTATTTATTGATACTTTATAAAGAACTAAAACTGAGGAAATTTTAAAATACCAGTCTGTGCAAGCGCACTGCCCATGAGCCACCAGCAGGGAAGTCGGTGAGGCCCTGGCTGTGTGCTGTGGGCAGTGTGGACCTCCCGGGTCCTCCCAGGGCTCCCGGCCCCCGCCCGGCCCCGTGGAGAAGTGCTGCTGGGCGTTTCCACGGACCGGGACTCAAAACCTGTTGGGTTGCAGCTGTAACTGAAGCCAAGTTTGTATGGTAGTAAAAAAAAGAAAAAAACTAACCTGCAGGAGAACATGGACATAATGATGTACAACTTTGAACAGTTTTCAGCATTTACCGCACTGTGAATGTGGACAACATATGCTGAATTATGAGACAGCACCTTCCAGTGGACATTTCTAGGCTTTAGCACAACTGCCATTGTTATAATGCAGTCAGTTTGTCTAGCTGATAGAAGTGTCTACTTAATACCCTTAATACCGAGTGATTTCTCATTTTCATTGGCTACCCTGTAGTAGAGAAGAGACCCCTAATGAAAAAGGTTAAATTAACATGTTTATATCCACAAATGCCACAAGTTAAATTACATAAAATTGGTTAGTACCCTGAACGAAAAGCCCCTGGTAATTTCGTTACGAGTCAGCCGTTAAGTACTCAGGAGTACGTATATCTTTTCCTTCTAGGGTTTCTGCTACGGTGCTGGGAACTCAGTTCTTCTGCTGAGACCTCTAGGTGGTCGAGGAAGAGAGCCGCCCCAGGCCCTTCAGCCGGGTGACCAGCGCCAGCAGCAGAGAATCGACTGTAAACCCAGTGGTGGAGCAGGTGATGCAGACTCTTACTGTAGGGGCCAGATCGGCCCCTCTGAGCAAGGCCCTTATGACAGAACGTCTGAGGGTAAAAGACATGTTTTGAGAGAGAGAGCCGTTGACTTGAGAACTCACACTGGCCACTTGAGCCCCGAAGTGCTCCGGGCGTTTGATTTTCCAGACACAGAGACGCGAGAGCCTCCCGAGGTGGTGTCCAGTGTAAGTCAGCTGCGGCTTGTTTTCTGTGCCTTTGCTCGAGGCCTCAGCGCCTCCTGTAGAGCCTACGGTTACCTCTGACCTGCTCTGCTCTGTCACTACGGTAAAGTTATTCACAGTCTGTCCTCCTCGCTGTGGTCAAAAGTTAGTCCAGTCTCCTTGAAGAACTGAGATTTGTTTTTCACGTGGAGTGCTCTTCCACGGTAGTTTGTTAGCACAGATGGGAATTCGTATTCCCGTACGAACCAACCACTCAGTGGGCATGACCAACACTCTGCCTTTGGGGAGAGAGGCTGAGCCTCAGCTGGAAGAGGAGGCGGGGGACCAAGAAGCTCAGCTTCCCAAATTGGTATCATTGGCTGGCCACACTGTGCATTCCCCCTGCAGAATGGTGAGGACTTTTCCCCATCATTTTGACTGTTTAAAGGGACATTCACATTTCTGTTTGAGACAAGGATTTGTATTGTCCCTTGCAAAGTTTAAATCGCAAGTGTGAAAGTTTGAAAAATAGTTACAAACACAATAGAGCCAAGGGAATTAAGACTCCATTTCAATGGAGTTAGTATTAGGACAAGTATCTGTGTGGATCTAGGAAACGTGGAGTTGTCCTTTCAGCTTTTGTAGTCAGCGTTGCTCTGACAGTCGCCTCAAGAATCCTCCGGTGACTTCCCGCCCCACTGAGAGTGAACGCCAAAGTTGCCACGTGGCCTGGGGTCCCCGCCAGCTGCCTGCGCCCCACCTGTTCCTGCACTGACCCCTCTTCTCTGCTCCACTCCTGACTAGTCCTTGAACTCAGAGCCTTTGTGCTGGCTGTTCATGACCTGGAGCTGTTGCCCCGACGGGGCCCCCACCGCCCCAGCCCACTTCCAGTGTGATGCTTTGTTTCTTGCCTGGGGTTCTCTCCCCAACCTACATGTGGGTTCCAGCAGGGCATGGGTTTTGTCTGGTCTGTCCCTGCAGTGTCCCCAGCATCCAGAACTTAGCATGTATTTGGACAGCGTTTGTCAGCGGACTGTTCTCACCAGGCAGGAGGAGTTAGCAGTGCGGGTCCCCAGTCCTGACCATTGAGCTGGTCCTGCCGAGCACAGTTCCATGAGGCTGAATGTTTACATCTTTGCAGTTTGCCTGGACTCAGCACTTTGAATGAATTCAGAGTCGCATAGAAACGTGATTAGTATGATTAGTAACCTTCCCGGTGTGTTACGTGTCCCCTGCACTTTCTAGGCCAGAGGGACTAGTGGAGCCCCAGGAGAACACTCACCCCCAGAGAGCAGCACTGCAGGCGGTCGGCCTCCTGAGCTTGCCTCTGGCCCGGAGGCCTCAGGTAGTGTGGACGGTCCAGCAGCAGCGGGGAAGGCCCAGCTCCAGACTGATGCCAAAGGCAGCCCCGAGAAGGACAGCCCCGCCAGCCCGGCAGGCCCGGATGCAGGAGCAGCAGGAGCAGCAGGTGGAGGGGACCCACCCGGCGGCCCACGTGTCTAGAGGAACTCGGACTCGAACCACAGCTTGGAGGTCGTCTTTCTGTGTTGGGATTTTGTGACGTAAATTTTTACAACTATGTCCTATAGATACTTGATACTACAAAGTTGCCAAAGTAAACATTGGTATTTTTACTGACAGAATTAACAAACACACATGTATTTCTGTTTCTTCTGTTTAACTTCTTCCCTGTTTTATCTTCTACTTGATGTTAACACACACACCCCATGAAGTTTGAAGTGTGAATTCTGGAACAGGATCTCATCAGTGACCGTGTGGCAGGCGTCACTAAGTCTGGATAATTCAAGCCAAACGGAACTAGGGTCATTGAGAAAAGCAGTTGGATGTTTACAGACATGTGGGACCCAGGTCACCCCAAGTGTGTGTTGCCTGGGAGGCGTCCTGTGGCAGCTACTTTGGTTGAGCTAGTCTGTTTCCAGAAGGGGCAGGTTCTCACACGCCACGTGGCCACGTTGACTCGCCGTGTCCTGCCGCGTCTCCAGAGCCGTGGAGTCCGAGTTAGCAGCTCCCACGCTCTGTGCAGGCTGCTCACAGGGGCGGCGGCTCTGTGGTGTCGTGTCCTCCGGCATCTCTCAGCTCCCAGCTGTTCAGGCGCTGCTTCCTCACTCCTGTTATGTTTTCCCGAGCGAAGACAAGCTAAAGGATGCCAGGGGTCTTCAGGGAACGTAGGTTGTTGAGGTGGCAGTCCAGCTTTCTACAGTGAGGGAACGCCCAGGGCGGCTTTGCTTTTCCCCGCCAGGTTGAAGTGCCCGGGCTCGATGAGACCTGCTTTCCGGCCGCCAGGGTCCCAGCGGTCGAGACTGTTTGTATGAGAGCGAACCCCACTGTTGGGGCCACCGCGAGTCCTCGTGTCTGGGGCTTTGGGCCTAGAGGAGGAGCCGTGATGGGGGGAGCAGCGCAGGGTGCTCTCCTTCGTGGTGGGCGGGCGACACGCTCAGCACTTCAGCTTACTCTGGTCTTGTAAACTCTTCCTCATTTTAAACTGAAAAATGTATGTACATTTTGCTGGGACCTAGCTAGAAGGCAAATTCCACATGCATTTAGGTGTCCTGATTTTAACCTTCACACTAAAAGTTATGCCCAGCTGCTCACTATGAGTAACAGACAGGAATATTCTTAAAATTTTCCCTCAGGTATTTGTTTCAGAAAAAGACTTATTCAGAGCATTAGCTTTCTGATACATTATTTTTTCTGATTTTATTTTGCAGTTAGAGTTCTCACTCGATACTGTTTTCTGGTAGGTTCGGGTGGACGGTGTAGTGGTTAGCCAGTCGTACGCTTTGTGGAGTGCTCCCCCACCCTCGAGGTTTCCAGCGCCCACCCGGCCCTGTGCAGCGTCGGTCAGTCTTAGCCGTGTTCCCTGCGCTTCTGGTGCACTTTGCACAGGAAATGTAGAAAAACTCCTTTCTTTGGCTCCTCGAAGCATCACTTAGATGCCTTTAATATTTTATGTTAATATTATCCACTTTAATGTTGCAAAAATCTTTAGTGTTTCATCAGAGAGGTGGTCATTTTTTCCAAAAAGTGCAAGAAGAATTGCGTGTAAAAATTTGTTACTGGGCCAGTAACAAAGAGCTGACAGGACGCCCGCAGTGTGGAATGGGCGTGTGAGCTGGTCCGCTGGGGGCTAGGCCTCCGGACTGACAGGCGGCCGGTCCCATTCCCCCCCCCCCCCGTTCTGGAGGGGCGGGGCCTCGGCTGGTGGACAGAGGGGGCTGGTGTGGCCCGCGCTCCTGACTGCTGTCCGCCAGTCCCAAAGTGAACCTGTCACAAAAACGTTTCAGTGACATGCTGTCTCCGTACTCTGCCATTACAGATGACCGCTTGGGGGTGAAATCTGCGCTAACAGGTAGCAAGGCAGCGTGCCTGCTGGGGGCTGGTGACGGGGGTTCAAGGAAGACTTACTGGAGCAAGTCGGGAATGTCAAGGCCAGATTATGACTAGAAGAGAGAGGCTTGTTGATTTTCTAGCCAACGTTTATTGCTGAAATCAAGGATTACAGTGACAGGCTTTGAGGAGAATCAGAATGGGGTAGACAGCCTTTGAAAACAATCTTAAAATGGAATAATGTGGAATGTTTACAGGACCTAAAACTACCATATACACAAAATAAACACTTATTTTTTTATTACTGGTAGGTTTGCTTGTCTTTGTTTGATATTTTTACAAGAAAAAGCCCCATGAAACATAGGTGCATTTTTAGAAGGCGGCTTTAGGACATTATACCCCATATAGAATATGTAAGTCATAACATCCAGAGGCTGGGTACTTTTAGTGAAATTTCTGATGAATGTTTTTTATCCTGAGTCCTTAATGTAATTCCAGATTGTGTAACTTTTTTTTTTGAACATTGGCTATTTGGAGAAGTGGTTCTCACGGTTCGCCCATCAGAACCACCTTAAGGACTTGTAGGAAGAGCCCTGGACGCCTCCCAGGTGTGCAGAGCCAGCGGCACCGGAGGTGAACGTGCTCAGACCTGGTGCAGGGGTCGGCGTTGGCCATGTGCGGTGGCGTGGGATCTGGGCTCTGTCTGTCCTTGTCGCCATGTGTTTGCTTCGTCGTGCCCTACTAGGCATCCTTGTGAACTCTCTCTAGTTTCTGGGAAGACGCTGAATGACCACTGAGGTCCTAACCTCCATCTTTCTTACTGAAGTTTGATGTGTTTTTATCTGTTTTCTCTCTTCATGGCTAGGTTCTTGACATAACAACCTAGTTTGGGTTTTTTTTTTAAACACCAGGTCCTAAAAAAGTCTTGCAGATGCGATTTTGAATCATACATACATATCTATGTGTGAACACAAGTGGTCACGCAGCACCGTTTGGTCAGCTGTGGACCAGTCAAGATGGCACCGGTCACACGCGGCTGTAATGGTCCCGGAACGTCGCCTCTGCCCGTGATGTCGCGGGCACCCCAGCGTGGTTCTGCAGCCGGCTGCTCCCATGTTGTGGCTGCACCTGCTGCGCCACCTCGGAGTCGGCCCTGCAGCTCCTCAGCGTGTGGCCGTGTTCTCCGTGTTGGCGCTCACTGGGCATTTCTCAGAGCCTGTCCCTGTCGGTAAGTGGCTTGTGACTGTTTTCTCATTAAGCAAAGAGCCCACGCAAGCGTGGTAAAAGAAGTTTATTTCTGAAGTCTCTTTATAATGGCATTGGCCTAAAAATATATTGAAGTTAGACTTTCTTGGGGGAGTAAACCTAGTTTTGTTTTTTAAAATGAGATTATGACTTTTTTACATATTCAAGTACATTATTATAAGACAGCATTTCTCTCTACATTGATGATTATTTAAAAAATGCCATTGTCAATGAAGACTTTAGAAAAACTACCTGATCGAGAGGATTAAGTTGTCCTCCAGGATTCCTTTAATCTTCTACTTTACAACACAGGTAACGAAAGGCTCTGACAAGTCACCAAAGAACAGTCCTCAGCAGAAATCACACAAGCTGATGAAGCACCTTGTGAGACACCAGCACCCTGAAGCACGTGAGTGTCCCAAGTTCATTAACACCAGACCACAACAGTTAAATATTTACATCATTCTCAAAACATTGTAAGCTGCATTACAGTGCTATCATTTCTCCTTTTAAGGAAAAAGAAATAGGTTAAATTTCCTTGCAGTGTTCTGAAAGGAAATAGGGACACTTTTTAAAAATCTATTCATAGTAACTAGTTGTTTGCTTATTTTTTCCCTCAATTTTTAAAGTCCAATGGATCATTGCTTCGCAAACAGTCCTTTAGCCCAAGTTCAGTGTCTCTGTTTTGATCTCTTTGTAAAAGAACTCTCTGTTCGTCCATTCGTTTTGCCTGAGACCGCAGAATAAGGCTAAAAAAGTCCTCATCTGGTACCGTCGTCCCCTTCGCGGCGGCAGGTGGGGGGGCGCATCTCTGGTCGTCGAGTCTGGACCCCTGCGAACACACGAGAAGAGGTTAGGACACAAGCGCTGCAGGGAAGGAGAGCACCGAGCTGTGTGTGCACCTTTCACGGCAGGAAATGTAGCTTTAGACACTTCCTATTTTTGTCTCTACCCAGAACTTTGCTTTATCTTTAGATCTGCAACCCAGTAAGTTTTTCCTTTAAATTGGCTTATATAACAAAGATCAGACAAAAGCAGAGCACAGCTTTACAGCTTTGGAAGGACTGAGACCAAGGTCAGCCGTGTCCAAGCTGACAGTTGGAGACTGGGGCCTGACCAGGTCCTTGGAAATGCCTTCCTGTGGAACCCCCCCCCACACACACACAGCTGGCTCACCCCTCTTCACCGCTCCTGTCATCGTTCTCGGTAATGGCGTTGTCCTCCAGTCACCCAGCACTCGGCCCTTCACTTCCTAGACCTGCCCTCCTCTGGGGTTTTCACTCTCCTGCCTCCTGCGTTAGGTCACGTGGTCATAGGCCAGACTGTCATTCTCGATGATGGCAGGGCTTTCAAAGACAGGGCTTCACACGTCCCATGCTGCCTCCTGTTTTTCCAGGTCATGCTCTCTGGTAGTCCAGTAATGTCTTTAATTGTGACGAGAAACGTAACACAGAAGCTGCCGCAGCAAAACCACCTTTGAGGGTACAGTTCCGTGGTGGTGAGCAGCCACCCTCACCCTCCGCCTCCACAGCAGCTCCCGTCCTGCGACACTGAAACCCAGCCCTAAATGGTGACTGCCGTCCCACCCAGCCTGCAGCTGCCAGGGCTCTCTGCTCCCGTGCCTGCTCGTTCCTCAAGGTCCGTCTTGTGTGTCCTGCATTTTTAAGGGGGGGAAATACTCCTTTCTGTTCACACACCACATTTTACCCATGAACCTGTTGATGGACTCTTGGCTTCATGTCCCTGCTTTTCATTTGTTTTGAGCGTATACTCTGAAGTAGGATTGTTGGGTCACGTGGTGGTTCCATTTTTGATTTGTTCAGGAACCGCCATACTCTCCCCACACCCTGTCCCACACGCAGTGGCCACGGGGCTCATGTCCGGTCTCTCTGATAGTCGCCATCCTGATGGTGTGACGTTGTATTCCATTGTGAGGTTTTTTCTCCCAAGATTTTCTTTATTCACTTTTAGAGAAGGAGAGAAATTGGTCGCCTCTCACGTGCCCCATGCAGGGGACCTGGCCTGCAACCCAGGCATGTGCCCTGACTAGGAATTGAACTGGCGACCCTGCGGTTCGCAGCCCACACTCAATCCACTGAGCTACACCAGCCAGGACCCAATGGTTTTGATCTTTGTTCCTCTAACAATCTGGGGAGGTGAACATCTTTCCCTGTGGTTATTGGCCTTTTTTTAAATTTTTTTATTGATTATGCTGTTACAGTTGTTCTATTCCCCTCCACCCTACCCCCCACCCCCACCATTACCCCCCCTTTGGTTATTGGCCTTTTGTAGATCTTCGGAGAAATGTGTTTTGGGGTTCTCTGCCCATTTTTGAATGTTGACTTTTTGCAGGTCTGTATATTCTGGATTAGTCCTTTGTTAGTTACACTGTTTGCCGACATTCTCTGTGGCTGCCTTTCTACTTTGTTGGCAGTGTCTTTTGATGTACAGAAACTTTACATTTTCACGAGTCCAACTTGTCTTTTTACCTCGTTACGTGTGCTTTAGTGATGTAACCAAGAAGTAATTGGCAGTCCAACACTGTGCAGCTTCCCCTTATGTTTTCTTCAGAAACTTTTATAGTTTAACTCTTACCTTTAGGTCTTTGATCCATTTTGAGTTAATTTTATGTATGGTGTCAGGTAAGGGTCCAGCGTCTGCCTCCGTTGCTCCTTACCCAACGGTGGCCTTGGCGCCACTGTGAGCATTTGACCTCGTGGGTCTGGGCTCTGTTGTCTGTCCTCTCAGTCCTCATGTCCGTCCCTGTACTGCCCTGACGGCTGGGGCTTTGAAATCAAGTGTGAGTCTTCCGACTCTGTGTTTCTTGCTCAAGACTGCTTTGCTTATTTGGGTTCCCTGTGAATTTCAGGGTGGAGTTTTGACTGACACTGTAGATGACATTCTGGTGGTACTTACGTTTTTTTTTTATAATACTAAAAGTCTTCCACCCCAGGAACACCAATGTTAATTTATATACTTATTAATTTCAGAAATGTTTTGTAGTTTACATTGTATGAGGGTTTTTTAAACCCTTTTTGCTGCTATTGTTAGTGTACAGAAACAACTGGTTGTTTGGAACTGGTTGACTATATCCTGTTACTTTGCTGAATTCGTTTAGTTCCATTTTTGGGGGGTGTGAAATCTTCAGGATTTTCTAACATAAGACTGTCACCTCTGAGTGAAGATAGTTTTACTCTTTCCAGTTTCGATGGCCTTTGTTTCTGGCCTGCCTGCTCTGGGTAGAACTTGCAGGGCCACCCTTCCTGTCACTGGTGTGGGAGGAAAAGCTTCCAGTCCTTCACCAGTGATTACGACGACAGCTGTGGATGTTTCCGTAGTTTCCTGATAGTGCTGGTTTGAGTGTTTTTGTCCTCTGTGAATTCTGTCAAATGCTTTTTATGCATCAGTTGAGATGATCAGTGGTATTTTCTTTTGTTCTACTAATGTGATAAATTACACTGATTGACTTCCATGTGTTGAATCATCCCCGATTTCCAGGAATTAATCCCACCTGGTCACCTTTTAATGTGCTGCTGGGTGGTTCCTTGATTTCCGCATTTATGTTAAAAAAGGATATTGGTCTGTCATTTTCTTACAAGTGTCCTGTTAGATTTTGGATCAGACTGGTCTCATAGGAGGACTGCTAAGTCACAGGAAGTGTTCCTTTCTCTTCAGTTTTTTTGAGAAGCACTGATACTAGAATTCATCTGTGCTGGCATCAGGTCCAGGGCTTTTTTATTACTGATAGAATCACCTTACAAATTAGTCTATTTTACATTGCTTTATATTTCTAGTTATCTGTTCATTACATCTAGGTCATCCAGCTTATGTATATATAATTACTCAGTTTTCTCTAATAATTTTTATTTTTGTAGAATCAGGAGTAATGTCCCACTTTCTAATTTTAGTAATTTAAGCACTGTCTTTTCAAATAACCAGCATTTGTTTTGTCTTTTTCTGCTCTTTATTTTCTTCCTTCTCCTCAAGTTATGAACTTAGGTTATGGGTTTAGGACCTTTCTTTTTAATGTAAGCATTTACATATGTAAATTTCCCCGAGCACTGCCTCCTGTTTTAGAATATTACGTTTTCATTACTCTCTGGGTTTTCTAATTTCCAGAAATTTGTGAATTTTCTGCTTTTACTTTGATTATTGCTTTTAAGTTCATCCTATCAGTGGCTGGAGAAGATACTTTGTATAATATCTAAATACTGCCCACCCCACTACACAGTGTTCTAATGTGTCTTATTAGATACGGGGTAGGAGGTGTTAGTCCCCAGCGCCAATCTCTGCTGCAGTTACACGGATGGTCTGTGTCACTCCGAGGTATTTGGCTCAATGTTTTTTGAATTCAGTGGAATCACAGCTGCTTTTCACTTTGACACATTTCATTTCCTTCTCCTTAGATCCTCCATTACTACTTGGCACATTCTGATCTCCAGACAAAATACCAACCTTGAATGAATCTTTCTTTCCCTTTCCTTAAGCAGCCAGTTATGACTGGAGAAAATACACAATTGTACTGAACGTAACGTCAAGTGAGGCCTCAGCACAGGTCAGCAATACTTATTTACTGGTTAATATGCTGTGTTTTTTCCCCCAAAGTCCTAATTTACAGCAGCTCTACTTCTTACTGTGCTGAGAAAATGAAAGCAGTCAGAGAGTCCTGCTTGCTCCCAGTTCTGCTCTGCAGCTGTTCCATGTTCTGCTGCAGCCCTGGGTCCCTCTCCGCTAGGTCGTTTCCCTCCACAGACACGTGACGTGGTGTGACCTTCCAGAGTAAGAAAACCCCCGTTCCCTGCCAGCTAACGACTCACTTCTTGCTTTCCTTCATAAGCACGATTGCTTGCAAACTACCTCCCTTCTTGCACTGTTGCTCTTTCAGCCCACGCAGCCCTTTGTCCCTGTGGTATCACTAAAACAGGATTACCAAATCTGAGAGCTCAGGCAGCATCCGACAGCTGAACTCTCCTCGGTCCACCTGCTGCCCTCAGCTTTACTGCTCTCGGGTCTTCCTCCAACTCCGCCCGATTGCTGGCTTCCTGCCCCACGGAACTTCGCGGTGCCAAGGGCTCCGTCTTGTTTCTCATCTGTTCCTCAGCCATCATCTTTGCCCAGGGCTTTAATACTAGCGATCTGCTGGTAACTTCTCTCTTGAGAAGGCAACTGGCTATCAAAATCTGACCCCAACTTGAATGTCTCCTCAGGTATTCTTAATTTACATTTCTAAAGTAGAACTCTTGCTTTTCTCCCCAAACTGTTTCTCCTCTGTCTACTCCATGTCATTACATGACCCCATTCACTCAGTGTTCAAGCTAAAAAGCTAGGAGTCACCCTTTGTTCTTGCACCCACTGTCCAGTTGAGCAGGTCCAGCCTATCCATCGAAACTGCAGAACAGACCCCTCATCAGACCACCGTCTTTCACCTGAGCTAGTGTGAGAATCAGCTGGGAAACTACCGCGGTAACAACCCTTCGCCCCTTTCAAAGCCAGCCAGGCGGTCCGCCGAGCCCAGGGGTGTCTCCCCCTTGGTCACTCCACGCCAGTCATACCGACCACCTTACCATTCCTTCAACCTGCTGACAGGCTTTTGGGGACTGGCTGTCTCTTTGTGGAATGCTCTTCTCCATGGCTGACCTCATTCAGGTCTCTGTCCGAACGTCAACCCAGAAACATCTTCTGTGACCTACATCAGACACTCCTCCAGCCACTACCCCTGTGTCTTGTCTTAATTTTCTTATAGAAGTGTCAGACCTGACATAATACACACACACTGAGTCCAGTGTCCAGAGGTGTTCAGTAACTTCTCCAATATATAGTTGCTATCATTATCTTTTTATGAATGAGACAGATAAGAAATGGGGTCAGGCAGAGGAAGTGTCTTCTTAGTGAAAATACTGATTTTTTTTTTCTCCCTCTCTCCCTAACCACACCGGTTGGCAGTCACTGCAACAGTTGAAATGTGAAGGCTGCCTACACGGGGCCCTCGTGAACTTGCTCACTGGCTGCTCCCGTGCTGTCTCCGAGCACCGGGTGGGGAGGGGCACCTCAGTCAGCAGCCCCTCAACTCACCCGCCCAGACAAGCAGCTGAGTGAGCCCTGCGGAGAATTCTAAGATGGCCAAGGCTCCCCACAGCACCCAGCCACACCCAGAGAGGCAAAAATATGCACATACTTGACATTTTACCAGGATGTCAAAGAAGTCTTCATCGGGCTCTTTGCTGTCATCGGTCATCAGGTGGCTCAGGACTGACTGGTTGTTCTTCTGGGTCAGGCGAAGCCCTGGCAAGTTACTGAAACTGGCCCTCTGGTCGTCCAGGCGGCGGCTCTGGGAGCTGGCAAGGAGGTCTAGGAACTCGTCTGTGTTCGGGGACACCACGGGGACAGACGGTGCTGGGAATAGGACAGACCACCCAAAGGTCATACCCTGCTGTGCTCAGTGCCACTGCTGAGCCCTGTCACTGATGGGGGAGCAGTGCACCCCGGAGAGCCCCCAACGATCCATGTGGTGGTGGTTCAGGGCTGACAGCATCCCTGTTACCTGATTCCGGGACCCAGGGCTGCGTTTTAGAAGGTACATAGCAGTTGCTGTCCCAGGTCGAATGGGACAGGGCTCCAGGCCCTGGGCAGGAGCCATATAGCTCAGAGCTTGGCCCTGTGGGCCAGGCTCACTCTCCTTCTAGGAGCCGAGACAGGAAAATTTCAGTCTCCTGTTCTCTCTAGATCCTGTTAAGGCTTAGGCAGAAGTTTCTCTTCAGGCTTTTCTTCTTTAATCTAGATGTGATGCATTTCACACCAAAGGTGTGCAGAACTGCAGCTTTCTTCCCAAACCCAAAGAAGTGAGGGAGGCAGTGGGACAGCAGAGGGTGCACTGGACACGAAATGCAGCTGAGCTCAGGAAGTGACAGAAAACCCTGTAGGAAGACCAGCACTGCAGACACGCCCGGGGGACTCGGGCTCAGGTACTGTATCTCCTCAGAACTAAATTCTCGAATTCGGGGTGAGCATAGGTCACTTACGTTTCAGTGCCCCTCTCGGGGGAGTGGGCACAGCGGCGCCCGCAGGGGTCCCACGGCTTGTCTCTTGCAGGCAGCACCTCTGGTCGTCCATCCGGTTGCTTTGAAATCGGCTTAATAGGTCAAAAAACCCTTCGTCTCCAATAGTCTCTGCGCTGAGTTTCTGAAATATTGAGAGAAAAATCTAAATATTTCAGCATTATCCTCAGATCATCAATGGAACAACATCTCAATACACTCAAATGCAAAATGGAAGGATTAAAACTCAAAATGGACGTTTACTTTCTAAAAATACCAGATGGCAACATTATCAATAAAGAGATGTTTCAATCCAACAAGAAGCATTTCTGGTATTTTAGCTTTTACTCCTTATGTTTCTGAGGCTTAAGAAACGCCGCTCAGATTCAGGGGCACCACTTCAAATCCTGAATGAGTTACGTGGCTATCACTGATGCAGCGCACCCCCCGGGCTCCAAGCCTCCCCCTCGCTTCGGTGCCACTGTTAAGTGCGTGTGGGGGGGGGCATCTGAACACCAGCAGTGCCAAACCGTGACCGGCTAACAGGCAGGGAGTGTGGAGACACTGGACAAAGATGAGTCACGTGCCAGGCCAGTCGGAGCGGAGCAGCGTGAGATTTCGTCCCACTACTCAGAACGGTGTGCACTTTAAAACGTGAGTTGTTTTTTCTGAAGTTTTCCATTGAATATTTTTGGATTACAGTTGACCATAGGTAACTGAAGTCTTGGAGAGCAAAACATGGATGAGGGAGGGACTACCATACTCACAATACTTGAAAACTTATTTTAAACATACCCTCTGGGAATTCGGAATTCGGTGCTCAATGGAATTACTGGCATCTTGGAGAACTTTAGTGGAGGAACTAGTTTTGTATTTTTTCCCCTTCAATCTGTTGACAAAGAGGAGCTTTGCAGAAGGTTTGGCAATGAGAGGTTTTTGTTTAGCAAGAATTTCACTGTTCCAGTTCTGTACCTACAAAATGATAAACGTAAATGTAAAGCAGGATGGAAAAAAACACCAAAACTACCTCTGATTTCCTATAATACTAACCTGCCATCCACTCATTTAGTCATGGGGGGGAGGTGAGACTTAGATCTTTTAATAACTTCCTTCTTGCCAGGATAGTTCACTATTTTCAATAGCTTATACCAGATACATTATCCTGTGGATTTCTCATCATCAGAACAATATGGTAGCTTATAAAAACGTAGGAAGAGCCTCACTGGCCTGTGTGGCTCTGTTCAGGGTCATCTCACAAACCAGAGTGTTGCCGGTTCAATTCCCAGTCAGGTCACATGCCTGGGTGACAGGTTTGTTCCCTGGTCCAGATGCATACACGGGACAATGGATTGATGTTTCTCTCTTTCTCCCTCCTTCTAAAAATAAAACCTTAGAAACCTAAGAATAAGAAAGTTTGGCAAATCCCATAATACTGGAATTTAAATGACCAGAGAACTTAAAGTTTTATTCTGAATGCGAATTACTTATCTATTACAACTGGAAATTTTGGCCGTATGTAAAATTTTTTTAATCCTCATCTGAGGACACCCATTCACGAATTTTAGAGAAAGAAACACTGATTGCCTTCCACCCTGTACGTATCCCAACCAGGGGTCAAACCCACAACTTTTTGGTGTGCTCCAACACGGAGCCACCTGGCCAGGGCAGGTGTGATGTAACGTTTTAACTGTAAAATTTAGTATCTAAAACTCACAGCAGTAGCATTTTTTGTTAGTACACTGTACTGTTTTCACTAACAACACTAAATTCTCAATAGGCAAAATAACCGAATCAGAAATTGACATGAGCTGGTTTATACATACATAACAATCTTTTTCTAAATGGTAAAATAGATATAAATTTTTTTAGACAGGAAGGGGAGAGAAACATGAATGTGTGGTTGCCTGTTGTAAAAACTGGGCAGGGAACCTGGACAGACATTTCTCCCAAGACCTAGAGACACCAGTTCAACTACACTAATCAGGAAACAAATCAAAACCACAATAAGATACCAGCTCACACCTGTCATAATGACTGTCATCGAAAAACCCAATAACCAGTGGCTGGAAAGGATGCATTGAAAGGGACTCCTCATTGCAGACTGGCGCAGCCACTGCGCAAATAGTGGAGACCCCCCCAAAAAGTTAACGAGAACTACCACATGCCCCAGCAGTTCCACTTCCGGGTGTGTATCCAAAAGGAAACGAAAGCACTTTGAAAAGACACATGCACCTCTATGTCCAGCGCAGCACTTGTTTTCTTTAACAGTAGCCAAGACAAGGAAGGAACCCGGGTGTTGACTGATGGGCGAAGCAGAAATCGTGGTAATTACCGTTTATGCACTGCACCGACAGTGTTTTGGCCACAACCACAGACCACGTGTACAAAGGTGGCGCTGTAAGATTTCAGGGGAGTGGACAGCCCTATCGCTCCACATCACTCCCTTGGGTGTGGAGGGGCTGGCACAAGCGAACCTGCGTTTGCCTGTCATTGAATACAGCACCTACAATTGTGTGCGGTGCAGAATACTTGACAGTAAATGACTGGGGCTGCTTTGTGTCGTCTTGTTTTTAGTGTACTCTTCCCACTTAGAGAGCTTGCTGCCAAACACTGCAGCACCTCATACGTCTGTTCACGGCATCAGTTTCTCTTGCCCTCGATTGAATCTCCTACTGTTTTGTGCAGTAAATGAGCTGTGCCGTTCAGCCCAGGTGTGCGGGGCCCACACAATATAGTGCATAAGTCTGCACAGGGAAGGCACTGCCTGACAAAACATTTCCACAGGCACCCGGCCCGCAGAGCCGCCCAAGATCATGCTCACAATGGAATATTACTCAGCCATAAAAAAGGATGGAGCACTGCTGTCTGTGATAATGCAGATGGGCCTTTAGGGCAGTATGGTAACTGAAATAATTCAGAAAGATACCACCACGTGATCTAATTTGTATGTGGAATGCAAAAAAAAAAAAGGCAAACCATCCCCACACTCACAGATGCAGAGATAAGATTGGTGGTTGTAGAGGCGGGGGTGGGGGGGAGCCAAAAGGCGCACACCTGCAGTGATGGGGAGTTCAGTGGTGGAGACGTGAAGTGCCCCGAGGCAACCACGTGTGCCGGGAGGAAACCAGTTCTCATTGCAAGCAAAACATTCTGTAGTTACGGTGACAGTGTTAACTATACTTACTGTGTTCTTTTCGCAGTGTGTACAATATCGAATCCGTGTTACACCTGAAACTAATGTAACCTCAATTTTAAAGATCTTACATGGGAGGGGCAAAACAGCACCAAATATTTATTTGAAAGCTTCAAATAAATCTTAGCAAGTATCCAAATCTGTAAAAAGGGTACCCACAAATGAGGATCAACTGTACCTTAAAAATAAGATGAATTATTTTGTAACTTTACAAACTATTTCACTAAAGTTTACTAAAAATATTGTAACAGTTCAAGAAACTAGAAAGTGAAAACCGCCAACCTTTTCCGGCGTCAGCTTCATCAGCTCCATGTTCTCCATGCTGTGCCGGCGGCCGGACTTGGGGCGCGCGCCTGCGTGAGAGCAGGTGACGAGAGTGAGGCGGGGAGGTTTGGGAGACGACATAACCTGTCACTGGACTTTGTGTTAACCGGTCCACGGGCATGCTGACTGACTTGGGAGAGGAAGGGGGAGAGGCCAACACCCCCTGGTTGCCTCCTGTACGCACCGCAACCAGGGACCGAACCCACCGCCTTTTGCTGCACAGATGACACTCCAGCCAACTAAGCAACCCCACCAGGGCTGTCAATGAACTTTAAAGTCTGTTACACAAACGCTCATGGAAAGAGGAAACATGCAAACGTGCTCTTTTAAGAGTAATAATTTTCCATACCAACTAAATGAAAATAGAACATACACTCAAATTCTTTGATGTAAGGAGGTTACATTTTGGTTGGAAACTAATTTAGATTACTAATATTACACTGTATTTAGAAAATCTGTTTCATAATAATTAGTTTTATACTATCTAGCTTCTTAAAAGGCCAAACAAACTGGAGAGTGGTAACAGATAAGTAAAAACTTAGGGAAAAGGCTTTAGGCCTTCAATTTTGAAATAAGAATCAAGATAACATCCCCAGTACTATACTATTACTTCAGAGTTACCTGTTCCCATTTTAAGATCTTATTAGATGAAAGATTTACTGCCAGTCAGGAACCGAACTAAAAAGTTACTCCAGCCCTGGCTGATGTGGCTCAGTGGACTGAGTGCTGGCCTGTGAACCAAAGGGTCCCCAGTTTGATTCCCAGTCGGGCCACATGTCTGTGTTGTGGGCCAGGTTCCCAGTAGGGGGCGCATGACAGCAACTACACATTGATGTTTCCCTCTCTCCCTTCCCCTCTAAAAATAAAATCTTTACAAAAAATTTTAAAAGTCACTTCAAAACTTACTTTAATACAATTACCATTAAATACTTAAAAACTTTCATATCCCTTCGATCTTTCAAAGACAAGCAGTACTTCAGAAGACATATCTATCACTAACACATTAACTCCCTCTTCCTTCCTCCAGCGCTTCGTTTACGTGTATGTGCCTAAGTGGCGAAGCACGTAACATCAGGTAAATGGTCTTGAGCTGGACGTGTCCTCTAACTCGTCTCCTTTGAGCAGCCTCACGTGCGTGAGAATCGTCGGAGTTGGTATGCATGGTTTAGCCCAGTTAATGTCCACTGCCTTTTAGGGTTAGGAGACTGCTTTCCTGCCCATTCCCCGGGGACGGATGTCGGGTGGCTTCCATTTCTGCACCGTCACAGCACCCCCTGGCCGATGTTCTAGGACTGCTAGTGTGTGTGAGCCAGCGTTCTCCTCGCCAGGACACAGGGCGTGTGACCAGGGCCGGGCTGCTGGGCCGTGAGGCTGCTCCGTCTTCAGCGTGACCAGAATGTTGCCGGGTGGCTCCGTGACACACACCGATTCCTCCTCCCCAAGGTTCCATCACCCGCGCTGCGCCAGCCCGGGACCGCCGGGCCTTTGACTTCCTCTCCACCACACAGGCTTTCGGCGTCCCTTCTCCGTGGTTCTCCCAGTTCAGAGATGCTGGGGATCTTTCCAGGAACTTGCGGGCTACTTGTTTCTTCTGTTCATCACTTCTGCCCATTTTGTGGTTGGGTCATTGGCTTAGTTCTGATTCACAGCTCTCACATGCTGAGGATACAAATCCTGTTTAATCACGAGTGTGGCGAATGTCCTCTGTTTGTGTTCTCTTTATGGTCCTTTCAGTCAAACGAAGTTCTTAGTTTCACTGTCAACCTTTTCTTTACGGTTTTGTTTCCTGTCCTGAGATGTTGTTCCCCGCCCTGGGACCAGAGAGAGGACAGCGTCCTGACAGCTCAACTCTGTACGCTGAAGCTTTGTCGTTAGACTTTACGGGAAATGCACGTTTGAGGCTTTTACCTTCCCAGTGAATTGAAGCGCTAACCATTGTGAACATCTTCATTTCTCTTTCTTCCTTTCGGGAGGGAGGGAGGGAGAGAGACAGGTACTGGTTACCTTCCTTATGCCCCCTGACCTCTGACTGAGCCCATGACACCCAACCAACGGAGGCAAACCGGCCAGGGACCGTCCTCATGTCTGACAAGACCTTTTGCCTTAAGAGTGCATTTTATCTGATGTTAATAAAGCTACATGAGCTTTCTTTTGATTAGTTTCTCCTAGTAAATGCCATATCTTTTTCTCTCCTTTTACTTTCAAGATTATGATAATCTTACATTTTAGATACTTCTCTTGTAGTTGGATATACTTTTTCTGGCCTGACACCTCTGCCCCTTACAGGGCACACCTGCATTTAACAGAGGAAAGGCTGTGTTTGGGTGTCCGGGCTGCGTTCTCCTTCACCGACTTTACTGGTGGGTTCCAGCGGTTTCCTACCGTTCAGCCCACGGCATCCTGGGCACTGCGTATGCAACGCTGGACCTGGTTTGCTGGTTCCTTGTTTGGAATCCTGCATCTGTGTGCCCGAGTGAAGGCTGGCTGACCATTCACCTCTCCTGTCCTGTTCTTGTCTAGTTTGGATGTTGAGGGTAGACGGTCCTCAGGAGGACTGAGGAAGTGTCCCCACTTCTCCGGTTACAGAACCTGGGGAAGCTGGTGGGACGTTTCTCGACCGCTGGTCTGCTCTGGCGGTTTCAGCCTTTGCGATGCCGCCTCCATCACTTCCACCAAGAGGCTTTTCTGTTTTTTCTTGATTTCGTTTTGATAACTTGTTTTTCTAGAAATTGTCCATTTCTCCTGGGTTTTCAAGTATCGTTTTTAGAAAATTATTCAGGATAATCTCTTATCCTTCTTTTAAAATCTCTGGCTGCAACTATATTATGTCTACTTCTCAAGATTATTATGAATAATCTTGCTGTAGATCTGTTAGTCTTCCTAAAGAACCAAATTGGGGTTTCTAAAGAAAGGGTCTCCTTCATCTTTGATTTCATTACTTTGTGTTAATAGAATGTTGGGCTTCCTGTGTTACATCCTCTCTGTGGAGGTGGTAAACATGAGGTGACTGATTAAAATGTAAAACCTAAGGATAAAGATGTTGAGTATTGAAGACCTGCTACTTACTGTGCATGCTGTTATCAATTTCGACGTTTTCAGACATCACCGAATTATTTGTGCTATAGCTCAGACCGAGAACCATCTGCAGGTCTGAGAGATTCAGCCGCGCCGTCAGCTCACCGCTTCTGTCCCCGACCTACAACCACAAACATTTCTATGTTAAAGTCAAAGAATCGTGAAGGCTCGTGGAAAATGTTGTGAACCTAAAACTGAATAAAAATAGTTACATTGGAGTTACGAGACTATGCATGAAATAGTTTCTTTACAGGAGAAAGAAAAGGGAAGTTTCTAAAATATGAATGGACAGCTAATTATATTCTATCAGCTCTTTAGTTCTCTGTTAGACGTCTCTTTATCTCCATGGTCTGGTAACGTGGTTCTTTTGTGACACATTAACTTGGCATTGTATGAATTAAACTTCCTCGGACTATTATTTCTACACTATGTTAATAATTAAATAATTAACATGTACTCATTAAGCCAGCACGTTATCCTGGGGACTTACACATGTATAATGTCTAATCCCTGTAATGATCTGCAAGGTCGATACTTCCATTTTACAGATGAGAGAAGTGAGGCTCAGAAAGGTTTACAAAGTGCAAATAGCGAGCAGGTGGCAGGACTGTTAACAGGAGCCAGTCCCTGACTCTGAGCTGAGTTTTCCTGCCACACAGGCTGCATGGCCATGAGGACGGGGGGTAGGGCAGAGGCCAGGGGTCTTCCCTTCTCCGGTGTCTGGCCTCACCTCGCACAGACCTGACGCCCAGAGAAAAATACCTAACAAACTCTTCGCTCGGCCGTCTGGGAGCAACCTGGGGAAGTCACGGGACAGTCCCCTGCTGACTGTGCGTCACGGTAGCACATACAGCAGTTTCTTAGCTTCCTACCTCTCTCGAAATCTCCAAGTGCTTTTCGGCAAAGTGCATGGCTTGGTCGTGGTTTCCTAGCGCTGTGTACGCGTTCCCCAAACTCCAGCATGCTCTTCCTTCACCGATCCTACGGGACGATCCAAGGACACACAGGCGTCTGAAGGAGCTCTCGGGGTCAAGGCCACCCAACATTACTTAAAGGTACAGATGATGCTCTGCATTTATTTGGTGTTAGATATAAAGAACCTACTAGGACAATACTAGAGACATTAGAACACCCAGATAATAGTGAATACTCAGAACAAGCATTAAAACACCCCCTGTGCACACACTGTGACCTAACGAAGTCTTGGGAACAGGCTGGGTACCCACTGCCTCTGCCGGCAGCCCCAAGGTGACCCCCAGCCGTGCCCGACCACCGCTGGTGGGGAGGGAGGACCTGCTCCCGCAGGCCATGCACGTACAGCTGTGGAGGGAAGGTCTTCTCTGTGCTGGGCTGAAGTCTAGTGTCCTAAAGCAAGCGACGCAGACGAACGGCCTGCACGT